TCGGAGGAAAAGTGACAAAACTATGTGGCCAGGAGGGGGCGCCTGGCGTGCGTGCAGCTGGGAGCCTGGCAACGGAGAAGCAGCTTTCTGGAAAAGTGAATCCCGTGAGCCATGACCTTCCAGAGAAGTGAGGTTCCTCCAGCATTGCTGGCAGCAAGGAGACTGAGGGAGTGCGGGGTTTGGGGTGGGAGGGATCTTACTGGCCCAACAACAAACCAGAAAAATGAAGAATGACTTTTTTTTTTCATCTCCCACTCACTCTTCAAATAAGTTGGAGGTTCTTAAACTCCTTGGGGTGGCCAAGAATCACCCAAGATGTTTTGAAATTGTAAATGTAATGATGGACCCCAACCCAAGATTCAGATCTATGAAGTTCACATTAAAAGAAGCATCCCAGGGGATCCTGATGTAGGTGTGGTCCTTAGGTCACAGCCATAATTATTTTAGGAGAAACAAGCACATTTCACAACTTCAGGTTTGTGATACGCATAGAATAGGATAGTTATACAAGTAGTTGTAGAAGTCCCAGTAGGGGACTATAGATAGAGAGGGAAACCTAGGAAACTTTGGGAGACCACTGTAAGTTAATGATGGCTCAAGAAAGCTATTGGAACAAAGCAGGCTTGCTTAACTATAAAGCCATAAATAAAAGTACGAGATATGCCCCAGGCCATTAGGTGGAAGAAAAATGTCCCCACCCTTCTACTGATTTGAATAAGTGCTATGATAATCCTAGTTTGACTTCATAGGGTCAGACACTCTCCTGCCTGATATAAAGGAGGAACTAGTGATGTAAGCCTCACGTCTACTGGACTAAGGCCGTCTTTCCCCCTCCCCCCTTCTTTTGACCATAAAATTGTAGCCCACTTAATCCTCAAGGCAGAGCTCCCTCGCCTGCCCGCTTGCATCTCTTACAAGCATCCTAAGTTAAGAAATCTACTTTCCTATCACTTTGCCTCTCGCTGAATTCCTTCTGCGCCAAGACGCAAAGAACCTGAGCCTCAGTAAGTGCAGACGTCAGGTTAGAGTCCCAAGTAGGGCTTTGGCCCGGTTCAAATCCTGGCCACGTAGGTTGAAGTCCCAATCTGGGTTTTGGCCGGGTTTGAGCCCCGGCTGCGTGGGTTCGAGTCCCAATCTGAGTTTTACACAGTTTCAGCTTGGGCCTGATAACTGACATTGAATTTCACCTCTCAGTTTACAAAGGGCTTTTATATCACAGGTCTTGTTTGGGACTCAAAATGACCCCTTTCTCTTTTTTCAGTCATGCTGTGCAGCTTGTGGGATTTATTAGTTCCCCAAGCCCTCGGCAGTGAGAGCACGAAGTCCTAACCACTGGACAGCCAGGATATTCCCCAGAATGACCATTTTATTGAGGTAGAAACTGAGGAGTCTTACAAGCCAGCCCACAAGCCCAGTTCCCACTTCCGAATCCCATGTCCTCAGCCCCAGGCAGCCTCACTGGGGGCCCCATCAAAGAGAGACCACGACTGGGTTACCTCAGTGCTTCTCAAAACATGAGAATATAATCAATAAACTCCAAGGATATACTATACACTGGGAATATAGCCAATATTTTCTAATAACTATAAATGGAGTATAACCTTTAAAAATTGTGAATCACTATGTTGTACACCTGAAATTTGTATACTATTGTATAATTATACCTCAATGAAAAGCAAATAAACCAAAAAACACCATGAGAACCAGAGCACCTGGGAACTTGTGTACAGTACAGTTTTGGGGTCTCTACCCCAGACCTATGGGCTCTGGAGTGGGCCCCAGGCATCTGTGTTTTAACAGGCCTCCCCAGGTGATGCTAAAACTTGAGAACCACTGGGTTACCTCAACCAGACCCTAAAACCTAATGGCATCCTCAGTGGCAAAAATTGCAGAAGGTGGAGGGGTGGGAAGGGTGAGCTGGGGCCAGCCTGTTTCTCAACCTTGCCCTCTAGTCAAGGGGAAACCAGTGCCTTGGGGCCTGCCTATTCTTCCTGCTTTTCGGAATTCTCGGAATGGGCACACGAGATTTCTACCCTTCTTCCCAGGACGTTTATCTGATAGTGGATCAGCTTTTTCAGAGCCTGCCTGATTCTAGGCCCACTCTCACCTCCCACAGGCCATCTGGATGCTCTGAACTTCAGCCCCAGACCCGGCTTGGGGCCTGGCACAAGCTGCCCCTAAGGGGAAGGTCTGAAAGGAACACCAGCCCCACCCTCCCGAGACTGCGTCATCCATGGCTTCATCTGCCTGCCTGGGTCCTCCTGCTGGCTCACACACACTTGTTATTCCTGTTGTTTGGCTCTTTTTTTTTTTTTTAATTTTATTTTATGTATTTTTTTATACAGCAGGTTCTTATTAGTTATCCATTTTATACATATTAGTGTATATATGTCAATCCCCATTTCCCAATTCATCACACTGGTTGTATGGCTCTTGAAAACTGAGAACTCCCTGCTCCCACAGGGAGATATCTGGTACCTTGTCTTGTCTGCAGAGCCTGGCTCCAAGAGCTCCTTTGTGATAGCTTTCCTGGTAACTGCGCCCCTCCCTGCCCCCGCTGGCTTTCCAGGAAAAGTGAGCCAGCTCTTCCTCTGGGCTCCCATGACCCCTTGGGCTTACCTCATAGTGTTTACCTCACTGCACTATAAGTCTAGTGACTTGCCTGAAATCCTCTTTGGATTCCCAGTGTCTGCATCTGTTCCTGGACCAAAGTAGCGTGTCAGTAATTGTGTAACAGGGAAGAACAAAATCTGACTCCATGTTGGATCTGTTTCTTTGACTTTAACCTTTGCTTTTCGTTGCTTTTGTTATTATAATCATCCATAATGGCCTGCCTCAGGGAACCCTGCCCCTCTGCCTGAATGTTAAACTAAAGTGCCTTTGTTCAGCTCACAGGGAGACAATCTGACCCTGCCCACAGGTGGATGGCTGCAGAAAAGAAGAAACTAACACATCCCCTCCCTGAGGCTGGCCAAGCCAGGCAAAACTAATGGCCCTTTTTACTTTACTTCCTCACTGCCTCCCCCTCTCTGTTCTATAAAAGAAACTGGCATCCAGACCCTGATAAGATGGTTTTTTGGGGACACTAGTCCACCATCTTCTTGGTCTGCCGTCTTTCTGAATAAAGTCACTATTCCTTGCCTCAGCACCTCGTTTCCAGATTCATTGGCCTGTTGCGTGGTACACAAAGCGAGCTTGGACTCAGTTTTGTTAGATGGAATGAATGTCTGATTGCCTTTGATCAGTGTACCGTGCTTTATGCATCTAGATTGCTAGTATGCAAGGCAGCAGTGCTGGGGCTCAAACAAATGAGGATGCCTGGGATGGGGAGGTGAACCAGAGCATTATCACTGCCTCCTGGGTCTTTCTTATGTTAGGCTGAACAATTTAGACCCTCCCCTGCTGTCCATTCCTTTTACCTTTTGGGAACAAGTGCAGTATCCCTGGACCCTTGCTCTCCAAACCTAGGCTTCCAAGTCTTGCTGACTGTTGAGGTAACAGCCCGTAGCTGCGTTCTCAATAAGGAGAACACATAATTTATCACCTATATTGGAGCACTGCAGAGAATGAGAGGGGGAGTATTAGTAATGGCACCAGGACAACAGGCACAAATGGGGAGGGTCACAGGAAAACCAGATGTGTTCACCCCATCTCTGAGCCACATGGGTTCTTGTGAGACAGGAAGGGGGAAGGACACAACCTTTAAAAGAATGACACCCATTGAGGACACGACATAAATTGGTTAGAACGAACTAGGTCCAAGATGGCTGAGGAGTTGACTTCCACCAGACCTTGAGCCTCAATATATGCTCATTGTAACACATCAGCATGCTAAATGACACACTCACAGGTGCCATGACGGTTCCAAGGCCAACCATACAAAGTCAAAAAGTGGGCGGTGGTCCAATTCCTGGAAGTCCCCACCACTTCCCCAAAATAGCTGGAATATTCCTCCCACTCATTAGCCTATGAAATTACCCACTATAGAAACCCACCCCTATAAAAACTGGCAGCACTATACCTTGGGGCCACTCTCACCTTCTGAGATGGCCCACACTCTGTCTATGGAATATATATCTCCCTGAATAAACCTTATTTCACTTTACTGTGGCTCGCTCTTTAATTCTTTCCTGTGCGAAGCTAAGAACCCACACTTGGCGGCCGTCCCAGGGACTCGCCTGAGACGTGGGATGTGACCATCCTCTCTGGCCCCACGCGTTTTCCTGCAACACTTGGGCCCACATGCATTCAGGAGCTGGGTTTGGCTAGGCTGAGCCCAGGTCGAAGCTGGACAGGGTGAGGGTGGAGGGGCAGTGAAAGGTCTCATGGTTGAGGCAACCAGCATTCTTCCATGGAAACTAGTGCCAAATTTTGAACTGTGGGCAGGCCAGCTTAGAAAAAAAAATAAAAATTAAAGGTCTTATTTGATCTCCAGCTGCCTCAGTTATCTCAGTTTTGGCATTTCCTCTGCTTTCTCAGTGGGTTACCTGTCAGGGCCCCTACCACCCATTTCCCCAGATGCTCAGGGACCCCAGGAAGTCACCCAACCTACCCCAACCTGTCTAGCTCTTCTGTTAAAAAGCCTTTTCACACGCTTTATCTCTTTGGTGCCACACAATGGCTTTCTGGGAGGGGAATGACCAGATGTCTCTCATAGAAACACAGGACAGAGCAGAGTGTGAATCAAAGGAATCCTGTGTGTATAAACATACCCTCTCCCTCACTAGGCTGTCTTCTGCATGATCAAACCATTTACTCTCTTACTGCATCCAATTAGAGGGTGATGTTATTCCCGTGAGAAAATGCTTGTCCATATTTCAAAAGGGTCCCTTGGAGAAGCAGCTTCTCATGTGTACACTTACAGATGGTTGCATGCTTAACAGAGGGAGGAACCCAAAGCTTAACTGTTCCAACTTGCTGCTTATTAAATGTAGTTTAAAAATAAGATAAAGTTAATCTGCAAGGATGATGCTAAAAAATATATTTTTATTTCTTTTTAGGTCACGCCACAGGATGCGGGATCTTAGTTCCCTGACCAGGGATTGAACCCGTGCCACCCTCAGTGGAAATGTGGAGTCCTAACCACTGGACCACCAGGGAAGTCCCAAAAGTATTTTTATATGTTGATCTTTAAATGTTAATTTCATTAGTAATTCTTTTTAATTGAAGTATAGTTGATTTACAATGTTGTGTTAATTTCCGCTCTACAGCAAAATGACTCAGTTATACATATATGTACATTCTTTTTTATATTCTTTTCCATTATGGCTTATCCTAGGACATTGAATATAATTCCCTGTGCTATACAGTAGGACCTTGTTGTCCATCCATTCTCTATGTAATGTAGCTACAATGCCAGATGTCCAGTTCAGTATGGGGCCCAGGGAGAGTTAGGCCACGGCACTGGCCCTCATTTCCACAGCTAGAAGGAGGCAACCCTGGGGCTGGGACTCAGTCTACCTGGGCCCACACCACCTTGCAGCCAGGGCCGCCTGACTGCCACCCCCAGCCCATCGCATTTGCTTGGGTCCCCATCAGCCAGAGTGGGAAGAGCATCATCTCAGCAGATAATCCTGCCTGCACTTCCCCAGTCATGACTCATCTCAGGACACACCCCTCACTCAGCACATCCCAGCCCTGCATTCTTTTCCCTTCTCTGAATGTGCTAAATCCCTCCCATCTCAGGGCCTTTCCCCATGCGGGTCCCCTGCTGGAAAGTTCTTCAGCCTTACAGGCTGAATCTCTCTCCATAGAAAACTGAAAGCTCTATACATGTTTCTGAGGATCATCTGTCTGTTTTCTCCACATTTAGTAGTAACTGGTACAGAATAAGTACCTAGAAATGGCCCAGGCTTTAGGTGTTCTTTCCTGTCAGCCTGAGTAGAAACTTGTGCAGGGACTCGTGAGCTGGGAAAGCTTCCAACACTGCCATGCAATTTTGGATTTCTCCAGAAATCCATGTTATCTTTGTACCACCACAGAATGAAAAGCCAAGGGGACACGTTACTAAGCAACTATGAAAGTTCTAAATAGTTGTTTACAAACAAAAGAGACAAGTAGAATTTCTGTAACATACTGAATTTCTGAACAGCACTCATTTATTTCTTTCATACAGTGTCATTGAAAGACCTCCCTGGAAGAAGATCCTATTCACAAAAGCAACCAAAGGTATAAACTACCGAGGAATAAACTTAAAAATAAATGCTTAAAAATGATATGAAGAAAACTGTAAAACTTTGTCAAGAGACATGGGATTTTAATAAACACGGAATGAGAATCAGCAAAATTAAGATATTAAATTAACCTGTGTGTTTTGCACTATCCAAGTCAAAATCCTAACGTTAACTTTTCTAAGATTTTTACCAAATGATACTAAAGTACATCTCTATGACGAATAATATGCAAAGATAGCCCAAAAATTCTGAAAAAGAAAAATAATGAAAAGGGGGACATGGCCCCCTCCAAACATTAAAGACATGCACAAGAATGTTCGTAGTAGCATTATTGATGATAGCCAAAAATCATATAAAATCCAAATGCCTATCAACAGTAGAATGGATAAATTACTGCATGTTCGTAAACTGATCTACTATACAATAAAGGATGAACTCCTGCGACACCCAAAACTGTGGGTGAATCCAATCGGTAAAAATATGAGTGAAAAGCCAGTCATCAAAGAGTACTTACTGTATGATCTACTTATATATAAGATTTAAAGGAAAGTAAAACAAATCGAGTGTGATAGAAATTGGAAGAGAGGTCACCTTTTAGGAAAGCAATGACTGGTAGAAGGCACAAAAGATGCTTCTGGTATGATGTTGCCCGTGAGTATTCACTTTCTAAAAATTCAATATTAGAATTAAAAAAAAATACGTCAATGAAAATGAGCTCCCACTATACTCATCAACATAAGTTCACAAAGATAACATTGAGTGGGAGAAATCAGACACAAATGAGTACACACTGGATGATAATGTTTATATGTTAAGAGATAGTCAGAATCAATCTGTGATGTTAAACGTCAGAAGAGTTGTTATGTCTGGAAAGGTGAGAGCAGGAAAGGTTGTGGGGAGGCCTGAGAGGGGTGGAGGGGGATCATAGTTTTCCATTTCTCGATCTGGGTGGTACTTACACAGGTGTGCTCCCTTTGTGATACTTGATCAAACTGTCCACTTATAACTTACGCACTTTCTCTATACGTGACATACTTGAATCTAAAAGGTTGTTTTTGGAACTCTTTCCTTTTGCCTCCTTGCATTCGAGAAAGCAAGGTGGGTAGCCAGCAGCTCTTCTGGAGCCATTCGAGAAAATTCAGCCAGGGTTCTTGCTCTTGCTACCTCTGCTCAAACCAGCACAGTAGGATCCGTCAGTACACAAAGGATATTGGCTTCATTAAACTGGACCAAGTAAACTTCCTTGAATGGGTCATCCAGGACATCCTTACAGCAGAAACAATGCTAGCTGTTTGTACATAAAATTAAAAAAAAAATTTCAGGGACTTCCCTGGTGGCGCAGTGGTTAAGACTCCACACTCCCAATGCAGGGGGCCCAGGTTCAATCCCTGGTCAGGGAACTAGATCCCACATGCATGCTGCAACTAAGAGTTTGCATGTCACAACTAAGAAGCCTGCCTGCTGCAGCTAAGACCCGGCACAACAAAATAAACAAACAAACAAATAAATATATTTTTAAAAGCCTTTCAAAAATAAAATAAAAGTTTGTTTTTTAAGAAAGTTACGTGCATTCCCTTTGACTTGGCAATTTCACATTTAGGATTTTTTCCCCTAAAGAAACAAAAGCACCCGAAGATGTACAAAGATATGTATTGAACACTGTTTATAATAAATAAAAATTAGAAACAACCTAGATGTCTAACGATAGAGGAACCAGGTGAATAATTTAGGACACGTGTACACTGAGATACTACCCAGCCAACTGTAGATGGTATAGATCTACATTTTTACTTATTTATTACATTTATTTATTTAATTTATTTATTTTTGGCTGCGTTGGGTCTTCATTGCTGAGTGCGGGCTTTTCTCTAGTTGCAGCGAGCATTGCAGTGGCTTCTCTTGTTGCGGAGCACGGGCTCTAGGCACGCGGGCTTCAGTAGTTGTGGCTCGTGGGCTCTAGAGCGCAGGCTCAGTAGTTGTGGCACATGGGCTTAGTTGCTCTGCAGCATGTAGGATCTTCCCAGACCAGGGCTCGAACCTGTATCCCTTGCACTGGCAGGCAGATTCTTAACCACTGTGCCACCAGGGAAGCCTCTATATCTACATTTATTGACCTAGAAAAAAAGCCTTATTCTAAAGGCTCAGATGACAAAAGCAGGTAAACATTAACGTTTTCAAATATAACCCCAAAATGTTTTCTGCAGTAACTTGGATGGGAGATGATGAATGATTATTTTTCCATTTGCTTCTGTATATTTTCTGACTTTTCCATAAAACCCATATCTTTGAAAAGACATTTCGTCGTTTTATTCATGTTAAGGCAGCCCAGCTGTCTTAGGTAAACAGATGAATTTCCTCCCCAAGAAGCCAGAGTCTATGGACAGATCTGGAATGGTGTTCTGGCCCCAACCCCGCATTAGATGTGCTACTTTGGAGGTGTTACCTCAATTTAAGAGCTTCCTTTTCCAGACCAATAAAAATGAAGATAATTATGTTAAGAGGATTTTAAATGATTCAACATATGTAAAGTATTTATCCTTGACTGAGACCCAAAAGACACCAGTGAATGTCACTGCCCTGCTTTTGGTAGGTACCAGGAACTGAATTTCAGAATTTGGATTTCAGATACAACAAATCCTTTCAAAAGATGCTTACTTTTCCAGGGGATTAGAAAATAGTCTACAGTCTCTCTTGTTCTGATAAAGTATTTTTTTCCCTTGTGTCGATTGCTTTTGATCAAAATTGTTGACACTTCTTGGGCCTTTTTCCTTCAGCTGGGCAAGAGAAATGGGATTGCCCTGTGAGGACAGAATATTCTACTTTAATCCTGTCAGCAGGTGGAGTTGCTGTGCCTGTGCTCCATGTTTGATACCTGAATAGTCAACACCTCAAGGGAAATAGGAGGAGCTCTGGTGGTAACACAGACCTGACCAGCCTAGGTCAGCATCCCTGGAGAATAGCAGGTGGGTGACTTCATCATTATATCTCTCTACTCAGGATAGATAACCTGGGCTTCCCTGGTGGCGCCGTGGTTGAGAGTCCGCCTGCCGATGCCGGGGACATGGGTTCGTGCCCTGGTCTGGGAAGATCCCACATGCCGCGGAGCGGCTGGGCCCGTGAGCCATGGCCGCTGAGCCTGCGCGTCTGGAGCCTGTGCTCCGCAACGGGAGAGGCCACAGCAGTGAGAGGCCCCCGCACACCAAAAAAAAAAAAAAAAAAAAAAAAGAGGATAGATAACCTAGTGACTTTGCACAGACAGGGCCTGCCACTCCCAACTGTCCTGGCCCCAAAGTTTCAGCCTCTTAAGTGTCTTTTCTCCAATAAGGTTAACCAGGAGTTCAGGCCACAGATATAAGCACAGCATTTGGTTGGTAGAGAAACCTGGGGTCCCTTCCAAACCCACTCCACGGCCCCAGCGGGTAAGAGCTGCCTTGGCCAACACAGCAAGTCCTAGTATAAACCCCAGTGTCTTGCTGATGCTCCAAAGGAGGAAATTGCAATGATCACAAGCTTGCCAGAACATGAAGCCTGTTAGTATCAATACATGAAAACTACGTGACTTATGAAGCCAAAGTTCATTTACACTAAGACAGTATGAACATTACAATTTTTTTCATTATGATAGGAACTAAAAACGATGTAAACTGTGAACACCTTCATATGAGAAGACCATACTGGCCGGGGAGGAGATGTATGTAAAAAATCTTATTTTATCCACTGAAACACTGCCCAATTTCCTCACCTCTCTAAACCACAACAGCAGCTAAGACTTACATACCACTTAGTAACGCTTCATATATGTTAACTTGTTTATTCCCTATAACTACTTATGAAGCAGGTAGTATTTTTTTTTCTTTTCCATTATGGTTTATTACAGGATTTAAGTATAGTTCCCTGTGCTATACAGCAGGACCAGTTGTTTATCCATTCTATATGTAATAGTTTGTATCTGCTAATCCCAAACTCCCAATCCATCCCTCCCCACAACCCCTTGGCAACCACAAGTCTGTTCTGTGTCTGTGAGTCTGCTTCTGTTTTGTAGGTAAGTTCATTTGTGTCATAGCTTAGATTCCACATATCAGTGATACCATGTGGTACTTGTCTTTCTCTTTCTAACTTACTTTGCCTAGTATGATAATCTCTAGGTCCATCCATGTTGCTGTAAATGGCATTATTTCATTCTTTTTTATGGCTGAGTAGTATTCCATTGTATGTATGTACCACATCTTCTTTATCCATTCATCTGTCAGTGGACATTTCAGTTGCTTCCATGACTGGGCTATTGTAAATAGTGCTGCTATGAACATTGGGGTGCATGTATCTTTTTGAATTATAGTTTTTTCTGGATATATGCCCAGGAGTGGGATTGCTGGATCATATGGCCCAATTTTTAGTTTTTTGAGGAACCTCCATACTGGAGGTTTTCCATAGTGACTGCACCAATTTACATTCCACCAACAGTGTAGGAAGCTTCCCTTTTCCCCACACCCTCTCCAGGGTTTATTATTTGTAGACTTTTTAGTGATTGCCATTCTGACCAGTGTGAGGTGGTACCTCATTGTAGTTTTGATTTGCATTTCTCTAATAATTAGCAATGTTGAACATCTTTTCATGTGCCTATTGGCCATCTGTATGTCTTCTTTGGAGAAATGTCTATTTAGATCTTCTGCCCATTTTTGGATTGGGTTGTTTGTTTTTCTGTTATTGAGTTGTGTAAGCTGTTTGCAACCCTTGTTGGTCACATCACTGGCAAATATTTTCTCCCTGTCCGTAGGTTGTCTTTTCATTTTGTTTATGGTTTCCTTTGCTGTGAAAAAGCTTATAAGTTTGATTAGGTCCCATTTGTTTGTTTTTGCTTTTAATTCTATTGCCTTGGGAGACTGACCTAAGTGAACATTGGTACAATTTATGTCAGAGACTGTTTTGCGTATGTTCTCTTCTAGGAGTTTTATGGTGTTATGTCTTACATTTAAGTCTTTAAGTCATTTTGAGTTTATTTTTGTGTATGGTGTGAGGGTGTGTTCTAACTTCATTGATTTGCTTGCGGCTGTCCAACTTTCCCAACACCACTTGCTGAAGAGACTGTCTTTTCTCCATTGTATATTCTTGCCTCCTTTGTCAAAGATTAATTGACCATAGGTGTGTGGGTTTACTTCTGGGCTCTCTGTTCTGTTCCATTGATCCATATGTCTATTTTTGTTCCAATACCATGCTCTTTTGATTACTATAGTTTTGTAGTATTGTCTGAAGTCTGAGAGGGTTATGAGGCAGGTAGTATTTTTATCACCATTTTATAGATGAGGAAACTGAGATTGACAACTGCACAGACCTGGGTAGCACAAGCCTCCCTACTCCACTTGGTCCTCATCCAGCTCCTTCAGCTGCTTTTGTTGTCTGGCTTAAGATCAGTCTCCCTGTCTGGGCCTCTTGGTGATGAGATCAGACCTGGCTTCCTGCCACCAGTCGAGATTGGTGATGCTGGGTTATCTGTAGTTGTCTAGAGCTGTCTTCACTGAGATTGCTGGCATCACTGCCAGTCAGATTGCCAGTCCCAGTGATGTGCCATCCAAGTGTGCCATCCATTGTCCCACCAAGGATGCTCCCACCAGTCTGCCAGGAGGGAACACTGATGATGCTCTGCTTCGATCTAACAGTGATTCTCAATTTTGGCTGCACACTGGAATCACTTGAGGAACTTTCAAGAATCTGTTGCCCAGGCCATGCACTAGATCAACTGCATCCGAATTTCTGGGGCTGGGGCCCAGGCATCAGTATTTTTTAAGACTCTCAGGTGAGCTAAGATTGAGAACCACTGTTAGCTGTCTGTCACTGGAAAAGGGGAGGCCAGATCTCTATGGAAACAGTCTTCAAACTGAACTGTCAGCAAACCCAACACAAGGCCGTGATCTGGCTGCCCTTCTTTTCAATTTGTTTATTAAAAGTATAAAATTTCTAAATGGGCTGGGTTCCATTTTCTTGTTACAGAGAACAGAAAGATAAGCATTCTGCAATAAACATTTGGTGTGCATTATTCCTTCAAACTAGGAGGGCCAGAATAAAATATTACGCTGTCTGGTAGATAGTCATTACCAGAAAGAACAGTCACAGATTGACCATTTTTATATTAATGTAATTAATTAATTAATTTTATTTATTTTTGGCCATGCTGCATGGCTTTTGGGATCTTGGTTCCCCAAACCAAGGATCAAATCCGGGCCCACAGCAGCGAAAGTGCTGAGTCCGTCACTGGACATTGAAGGAATTCCCCATTTTTATCATGCTGGATACTGGGGAAGACAGACAAGCAGTTACAGTTCAGCATGACATGTATGATGGAGAAGAATTCTATGGAAACCATAGAAGGGACTCCTGTCAAAGACAATGTGGACAAATAAGGAGACTGATTTTATTCAGTCCATTTCCTCAGGGAGAGCCCCACAGATACAAAGATCAGAGTGTCTAGGCAGGGTGGTTTTGATTCAGACTTTTATAGGGAGGAATAGATAGGTTACAGGTGTGAGGAATTTACAGTTGGGATTGTTTTGCATCAGGGGAAGTCTCAGTCAGCTTAACAGAAAATGTTTATCTCTGTGTCTAGATAGTTTCAAGGGGATGAGAGTTCTCATCTTAGTTAATCACTCATGAGACAAAGAACAGGACATTGGCCAGAGACACAAAAGTCGAAGGGTCTGTGTCTGACCTTGTCACTTCTAGCCAAGATTTTGTGTATGTGTATATGTGCTTTTCTTTTTTTTCTTTAAATGTTTTTATTTTATTTTATTTATTTTTATTTTTGGCTGTGCTGCATGGCATGTGAGATCTTAGTTCCCAGACCGGGGATCAAACCCATGCCCCCTGCAGTGGAAGTGTGGAGTCTCAACCATTGGATCACCAAGGAAGTCCCTCCTCTTCTTTTTTTTAACTGGTAAAATTTCAAATATATGCAAAGGTAGAGAGAATAGTATAATGAATCCTCATATAACAGTTCTCCAACTTCAATACATATAAATATTTGGCCACCCTTGATAACCAACCTTCCTTCCTTCCTTTCTCTTTCTTTCTTTCTTTCTTTCTTTCTTCCTTCCTTCCTTTCTTTCTTTCTTTCATTCTTTCTTTTGTTCTTTCTTTCTCTCTTCCCTCCTTCCTCCCCTCCTTCCTTTCTTCCTTCCTTCCCTTCTTTCTTTCTTTCTTCTTTCCTTCCTTCCTTCCTAACTCTCTTTCTTTCTTTCTCTCTTGTATTTTAAACAAATCCTACACATTGTGTCACTGCATTCCTATATCCTTTGATATGCACCTGTGAATAATATTCAACCAATTTTTGAGGTTCAGGAAGCCTTCCTAGAGGATGTGACGTCTAAGCTGAGGTCAGAAAGATGGGTAGCAGCAAATAGCCTGGTGAAAATGCAGGTGGCAGGGCTGGAACAAGGAGCAGGGCAAGTTCTAGGCAGGAGGAAGCTCTCGTGCAAAGACTTCAAGGTACATTTTGAGGAGAAAGGGATCCATGAGAGATTAGTGTGATGACATAACCTGTGGCCCTTTCATGAAAGGTTTTGTGAGCCTTGGGTTCCAGAAGGCCTATATTAACTAGAGGAGTGAGAAAGGAGAAAACAGCATATGGAAAGATTTCTGTGCTCCACATGGACCACTCTTGGACCAAGCCTTCACTGCTCTGGGGTCTACTTTCAGTTCTTCCCTGGGGTGGGGAACAGAGTCTAGCGGGTCTCAATTCATCATCAGAACAAGCAAAATGGGGCTTCACTGGTGGCGCAGTGGTTGAGAATCCGCCTGCCAGTGCAGGGGACATGGACGGGTTCGAGCCCTGGTCCGGGAAGATCCCACATGCCACGGAGCAACCAAGCCTGTGCACCACAACTACTGAACCTGCGCTCTAGAACCCGTGAGCCACAACTACTGAAGCCTGTGCACCTAGAGCCCATGCTCTGCAACAAGAGAAGCCACCGCA